AAAAAAAAAAAAAAAAAAAAAAAAAAAAAAAAAAAAAAAGAAAAGAAAAAGAAAAATTACATAGAAAAATATTGTAGATTGAAGAAGGGAAATAGTAAGTGACTGTTGATGAGAGAAGAGGACAGTTTTATAGAGAGGCCAAAGGGCTCTCTGAGAAGGCGCTGCGGCTTCTTCTCCTTCCTGTAGCTGCCGGAATGAAGGAGGGAATTGTGTAGAATTTGGGAGAATAGAGTTCTAGTAATAGGGAATAACAACTAGAAAGGGCCTAGAGGGTCTGAGGAATGGCAAGAAGACCACCCTCGTTAATATAAAGAGAGTGGGAGGCGAGCACAGAGAGGGTGATGGGGCCTTCCGACATCAGGTGGAAGAAGCGTGGACAGAGCAGGGTGGGATTTTATGCTGGGGCAGGGATGATATTGTGGCTGCACCTTTTTATCTGCTAGTCTGGTGAATTGCATCGAGAGTTGCATGTTTAGCTACCCTTGCATTCCTGGGGTCTCTTCTCCTCTGTTGCTGGGTGTGACGTGGTAGCATTCTGCTGAAGATTTCTGCATCTGTATGGATGGTGTTGGGGATATTAGGGAAATGTGTATTTGCATCTGTATTTTTGTGGAGTGCAGGACAATGGCCTTAGGATGACCTAGCGAGTCTGTCTGTCTTTCTTCCTGCTGTTTATGAAGGATCTGTGTTAATTTGTCTTTAAACATTTGGTAGAATTCATCAGTGCAGCCATCTGGTTCTGGGCTTTTGTTGCAGAGAAGTTTTTGATTATGGACTCAATATTTACTTGTTGAAGGTCAGTTTAGATTTTTCTGTTTCTTTTTTGACAGTTTCACTAGTTTTGATTTTTAAATTATTTTTTGAAATGATAATATTCCATCATTCCTCTTCATTGTGTATATTCTTAAATACATAAGTATAACCTGCTTAGTCTGTATAATATTGCTCGTATATAGTTGCATACATATATAAACACGCATACACACACACACACACACACACACACGTTTTCAGGAC